AGACAAAAAATTCTGTAAAACGCACTCAAGAGACTATGTGCACAGGTGAAATAAAAGCCGGATAATTGTTGAGTATCCAGCGTAGAAGGAGGTAAGCGCGGCGAAGCCGGGCCGTATCACGGAAGGAGGCGCGCCGGCGTCAGCCGGCGAGCTGACTGGTAAAATAATATTTGGAAAATCACGTTAACGCTGAGCAGGTGTGGGCGTGGCGGTAGGAGCGGGGTTTGCAGTAGTGTCTAGTAAGGCGTGGGTAAGTCTGGGATCTACATTGAAGAGTTGTTGATTTGATTCGAAAAGTCGTGAGTTTGGTTCGAAAACTCGTGAATTTGGCCTGGAAAGTAGTGAATTTAAAGTGAAAATGGTATATTTCATTGAGCATTCTACCCGACAACGTCTTTTCATGGAGGCTGTGTCCGTTGGGTTCGGTGAGACCTTGCTGACCACAGTTAGGATGCTTTCGCCTTTTACATTTGCGGCGTTTGTGAAGCTGCCTTGAAAGAAATCCTAAAAAGTGCCACATGGAAGGTACTATTGTTCGTAGATTATTTAAGAACAGCCCACTGTTAGCCCATTTTCGCGGCGCGGAAGAGCTCGGTGGTGACGCCACGACTCTGACAGGACAAACAGAATTTGTGCCCTAACAGTAGTGGCCCCTCGTCGTATTACTCTACAATCGCCATTTAGCGGTGGGTCTCATTATTTGTGAACTCTCTCACCATAAGATCATTTTATTCCCATTTTCATGCACAGCATGCATTACCCGTGTGGTACTTATAAATCTAGGAAGTAAAAGTTCTTCGTCTGAAGGTCTTACTCAGAACATTTTAACAGTTCCTTTTTTGCTGTTGAGCTTCGAGTGTACGAACAAGCTCACTAAGATGTCATTCTCTCCATCTATTTGCGGATAGCCTTACAACTGACCTGAGTATTGGGAGAGCTTTTTATGGCACCTTAATCTTGAGGCTAACATTGCACAGTGTTGCAGTTTTCGCATATGTTTCTTTTCTGTCTATATCTGTTTTTGTTACTTGCACTGTTACTTATGTACTTGTGTATGACAAGGTTAGCAGATGTGCTTAATTGTTCCATGACATAGTGAGTGATCGTGATGTGACTATTCTCATTTATTCATTCGTATAATTCTCTCGTTGGTTTCAGCAAGGCGAGGAATCGATGCGTTCAAAACAAACTGGAGATTGGATGACCCTCTTCCATTACTTCCTGGCTATTCGGCTAAAGATTTCCCTCCATTCCGGTCATTCACAGCAGAGAACATTTCAATTGAAGAGGAATTTATCAGCGTTTCACGGATGTGTGCACAAATACGTGATGAGCAGCTGCACCGTTCCGCTAAACGATTGGGTGGAATACAAAATCCGAAAGAATCATCAACTGCTGAAGAAAGTGTGGGAGATTTCAAGAAGCTGCCGCCTCTCAAACTGCGACTTGATATCAGGTTTGATCATCACTCATGTAATGTTGCACTCGCAACCGTTTTCTCTCCTGATCTGTTTCTTTCCTTCACTTACTGAATCGGGCTGTCCACGACTGATATCTTGGAAGGCCAAGATAATCAGAAGGCTCCTTGTTCTTCTTGACCATGACCTTTTTAGATGTGCACGCTGACGCGCGTGACACAAGTTTGCTTACTCTTACGTTTATCTGAACTGGAATCTGAATATGATTTAAAAGGAAAAGCCAGAAACGAGAAGCAGCATTTACCCTTCCGCTTTCGGCTTCCTTACCACTCCACTTCAGATCACATTATCTTCTGTGTAAATTACCCTCCTACTGTTACGTATGCGCTAGCGTGCACAGCTGAAGTAGCCGAATGAGAAGGCTTTCGTTCATTTTGATTTTATCCTCAAATATTCGACTCATCAATCCTCATACTTTCTCGATACATGTGCGGTTGCCCCAACCGATCTATGAATGGTTTTATCTTGTGCTCTGCTCACCATTAGCACCAAATCCTATTTCGCTCTATCCATCTTCTGTTTCAGAGTTTTTCAACAGTGTTGTTCATTGTATCAGTGATCAGAGAACCACAGCGCTCCAAGCCAAGGCTATATCCAGCCCCGAGCCAAAAATGGGCGGTCCCAGAATCTTGTCGAAAATTTATTTTTTGGTCGCGAACTTTTATAGAATTGAATTTTCTGTCAATAGAATATGTATCAGAAGGGTATAAGATGCGTTTCAGAAAAATGGAAACCTTTACATTCAGCAGTTGCGGCGAAAGTTCATAGCTTGCCAACCTTTATTGAACTGAGCGTGCTCTTAAAGTGTTCGTTTACTTATTTTCCATGCTACAATTCATCACCAACTATATATAGTTTGCTAGATCTGTTTGTTTGTTTGTTGCTTGCTTCGCGTTACTCGGCCACAGAAATGTTCAATTAATATCGCGTTCCGGAGCAGCTCGAAGATGGGGAAAAGTGGAATGGGTTTAGCAAGGAATTGCCAGACTAACTGTGGGAGACACATCCAAAATGGGCTCAATTGGGTGGGTGGCACTCAAAGGGGGGAGGGGCTTCTCACAAAAACTCAAAAACCCGGTCGCCAGAGGTTTAGGCAAGTCGCAAAAAACTCAGTGCGGAATGTAAATATCTGGCCAGTGTTGGGCACGCTCGAGTGTGGTGGGACCCGCCCACAGGGGGGGGGGCTTGCCCTTAATCGCAGGATGCTCATTTTAAAAGTTTGTAGCTCAGTTCGAAAGCACCTCGCGGAAAAAAGAGCGATCAAGGGTGGGCGATGAGGATTGGCTGCCAGGGCACAAGTTTTGTGGGCGGGGGGCCTGCTCCTAGACTGGGCGGTCGCGAGTCAGACCACAAAGATCTTGGCGAAATGAGTTGCCAGAACACTCAGACATCCGGAAAAAAACGTGATTAAGGTCAGCATGCAGGTCGCCCCCGGTGTAAGGACTCGGAACAAAACAATTTGTGGGCGGGGGCCTGCTCCGCTAGGTGGCGGCAGTCAGAGAAGAAACTATAAAATAGTTTCCAGAGCACTCCAAACACCGGAAAAGTGGATTAAGGTCAGCAGAGGGTGGCCGGTGTGGATTGTGGGGCACAAACATTATGGGCGGGGCCTGCTCCTAGGTGGGCGGAGTCAGGCGAAAAATCTGTTAAAATAGTTTCAGAGCACTCCAGACACCGGAAAAAAGAGGATCAAAGCGTCAGCGACGAGCTGGGCGCGATGTGAGGGTTGGGGTACAACATTGTGGGCGGGGCCTGCTCCGAGGTGGGCGGAGCCAGACAAAAAAGTCTGTAAAACGGTTCCAGAGCACTGCAGACACCGGAAAAAAGTGGATTAAGGTCAGCAGAGGGTGGCCGGTGTGGATTGTGGGGCACAAACATTATGGGCGGGGCCTGCTCCTAGGTGGGCGGAGTCAGGCGAAAAATCTGTAAAATAGTTTCAGAGCACTCCAAACACCGGAAAAAAGAGGATCAAGGTCAGCGAGGGCTGGGCCGATTGAGGATTGTGGGGCACAAACATTGTGGGCGGCCGTTCCTAGGGGGGTTTGGGCGGAGTCAGACGAAAAGGAATCTGCAAAATAGTTCAGAGCACTCCAGACACCGGAAAAAAAGTGGATTAAGGTCAGCAGAGGGTCGCCGGTGAGGATTGTGGGGCACAAACATTGTGGGCGGGGCCTGCTCCGAGGTGGGCGGAGTCAGACGAAAAACTGTAAAATAGTTTCAGAGCACTCCAAACACCGGAAAAAAGAGGATCAAGGTCAGCGAGGGCTGGGCCGATTGAGGATTGTGGGGCACAAACATTGTGGGCGGGGCCTGTTCCTAGGTGGGCGGAGTCAGACAAAAGATGTGCGAAATAGTTGCAGAGCACTCCAGACACCGGAAAAAAAGTGGATTAAGGTCAGCAGAGGGTGGCCGGTGTGGATTGTGGGGCACAAACATTATGGGCGGGGCCTGCTCTAGGTGGGCGGCGGTTCAGATCAGGACGACACAAACTATAAAATAGTTTCAGAGCACTCCAGACACCGGAAAAAAGAGGATCAAGGTCAGCGAGAGCTGGGCCGATTGAGGGTTGTGGGGCACAAACATTGTGGGCGGGGCTGCTCGAGGTGCCGGCGAGGAGGCCAGACAATAAAGTCCTGTCAGAACGGGTTCCAGAGCCACTGCAGACAACACGGAAAAAAAGTGGATTTAAGGTCGCCAGAGCGCGTTGGCCGGTGTGCGATTGTGCGGGCAAACATTTATATGGTGGGCGGGGCCTGCTCCTAGGTGGGCGGAGTCAGGCGAAAAATCTATAAAATAGTTTCAGAGCACTCCAAACACCGGAAAAAAGAGGATCAAGGTCAGCGAGGGCTGGGCCGATTGAGGATTGTGGGGCACAAACATTGTGGGCGGGGCCTGCTCCGAGGTGGGCGGAGCCAGACAAAAATCTGTAGAACGGTTCCAGAGCACTGCAGAGACCGGAAAAAACGTGGATTAAGGTCAGCAGAGGGTCGCCGGTGAACTGGCCTGCGAAAACTTCACTGATATGTGACTCGGCCGAAGTGTCTTTTTGCCTCCCCCGTGTATGTATGCTTAGCAAATTATAGTAGCGAGATACTGCTTTTCTCAAGAAACATGGCCAGGGAGTCATTAAGTTCCAAGACTATGTTTCGATATCGAGTTAGATCTGGAACTATGAAATCCGAACCTGCTGTTGGGACTCCCTTTCCGGAGTAGAAGGCCATTAATATCTTGTCTAGGTCGGGGGTCCATTTTCGCAGTCGTAGATGAATTCTATAGACCGATATCTTTGTTGCTGTGGGCATCAAAACTTATACTTCAGTAGGAGAATGAGGCGCGCAATTACCAGGGCACATCCTTGTTAGGATCTCCGAGGGTGGTATTTGGGCTGATAATTTTTTTGATAGTTGATTTGATTTTTCATGTTCCATAGTCATTGTAAGCGACTGGTGTCGCACTTGATCGTTGTTGGGAGGGAGGTATCGTATTTCCCTTCAGAGCTTCTGAAGAAGGTTGCCTTACTTTTTCTTGTTTTTTTCCTGTTCCATGTGTACTATAGAACTCTCCCCTCGCGCTTGACAACGCTCGATGAGGAGGGAACCAGGAGGCGAGGTTGCACCGACTACCTAATAAAAGGGTGGGGGTCCTACGGACTCAACCAAAATCCCCAACCAGTGGTGTGCCCTGGCAATTATACACTTGTTTGACTCTCCCTGATTGTTCGGGCGTAACTCGGGTAACCGCTGCAGCAGGAATGCCTCCCTTGCGGGTAAGCCCGGCAACGGTTCAGTGTCTGGCTTTTTAGTTAAATGGAGAAAATCGTGGGGACGCTCCCGACCAGAGAATCTCGTTTTCCTTCCTTTGAACATTCACATCAACTGTTCCACTTCGACATTGTTTGAACAGAGCTCCTTCCTTGTATGACACCCAATTTGACAATCCATCGCCACTTTTTGACCGCTAAAATTCGTTTTTTCTACGTTTTCTGCTGCTGCCAGGTTGACCAGACTAACTGATCCTAGCTCCCAAAGCCTACTTCTTTGGTTTCTTTGCTCCTCTTTGTCTCTTCGGTTTTGAATGAGATTACCTACTTTCTCCCAACATGCTGCCGCAAATGAAGGCAGAAATGATTTTTTTCCTTCTTGAATGTAAACCGTATTTTATAGAGAACGTTTTTTTTCAGTGTTGTGCCATACACCTATAGTAAGGTTAGTCTACGTTACGACTGACTCGTCGTTTTCTTGAACTAAAAATTCCAGTTTCACAACATCCAAATCAGGAAACATCCCGAGAAATAATCTAGCCGTCCGCGGTTCCACCAGCGTCATATCTCACTCTCTACCAACAGCAGTAGTATGAATGAGACGCGGTAAGCATTAGGAGGTAGTACGTGTAAAACGCTGTGTTCTCACGGTCAACCTAGAGGAATGAAAGACGAAAAGTCGTTCGCAGCAGTGATACACACATCCGGTTGTTCAGCCTTGGATTCCTTACGTGGATCTAGAATGCCTTCAAAGTCTTCTCAGCACTGACGTCGTCCTGATCTGCCAAAATTTTGCACTTAATATCGAAGTCACCTAAAGTCTAGTGTTTATCAGCTGAGGCTTGATGTTGTCTCTTATTATGTCGATCAAGATGACGTCGTCGATTAAATTCGCAAAAACACTGCACTGTCGTATCGATGAGCTTACCTTGTCGTATATGAAAAGTAGCTAGCTGCAGATGCATATACTTTCGCAATTTCTCGTGTATTGCCCCCGTGAACACACCACGTTTCTGCCGTGCCGTCACTCCGAACAGTTCACGCACGTAATCTCAGGAGCTAGCCTTCGTAACTCTCCTTCTCCATGTCTCCTGTGCCCCAGTGGCTGCTTTGCTCATTAGGTGTTCGGCTTGTCGGTGAGGTCTCAAGTAGACTCTTTCAATCGCTTCAAACATTTTACGTCCTCGTTAGGGCTTGGTTTGGTGGAGGGTTGGTCAAATTCTTAGCAAATGGGCCCCTGCTGTTTCGACTTTTCATTGAATAGATAAAGAAGAGTGTGTGAGAAATTCTGAAT